TTACAAAACAGAAAAATAAACTGATAAATAAAATAAAACAGGATAGGAGACACGGTATGGTCGTGTCGGACCGTTGTAGCAGACACTGTGTGGTCGTGTCAGACCGTTGTAGAAGACACGGTATGGTCGTGTCGGACCGTTGTAGCAGACAGTTTACGGGGTCATGTGTCGGACCGTTGTAGAAGGTTGTGGTGGTGCACCAAGGGGGCGACTTAGGGAGTGCGCCATGAGCGACGTATACATGATACTGTGTATAACCCCCCCTCAAACTCAAATAAGTGTGAAGATAGAAACCTAGTTGAGGTTGAAACAAAGGGATTGATAAAGCTGACCGGGGTAGAAGACACTGTATGAGTGTGTATATAGGCTGCCCAAAAGATATACAGGGATATGGATATCGAGCCCTCAAAAGTCGTGCCCTCAAAAGGTGTGCCCGCACCCTCAAAAGGCGTGCCATCAAAAGGCGTGCCCAAATGCATCAAAAGGCGTGCCATGAAAAGGCGTGCCAGGTTGTCGGCGAGCGCCGAGGGGCGCAGGATGCGCGTGTCTGCCTTGGCTATATAACCAAGATGAAGGCAGAGGCTGAGGCAGAGACTGAGACAAAAAAAACTGAGAGAAACATCTGAAAAACTCTTCGTGTTCTGAGAGATTCGTGTTCTGAGAGAGAAAATCTGTAATATTCTGTAACACTCTGTTGCCCAGAAAATGGCCTCTTCGTCCCGTCCGCTGCTTACTCTCTTTCCCGACCTCAACGAGTCCACAAGAGAGATAACTGGTGCGGTGTCCCGTGAACCTCAACCAAACACCACTAGGTTTGCTCCGTTGAACTTTCCGATGCAGTCGGTGGAGCAAAAAATGGCAGTGCAAACGGATGTGGAGGCCAATCAGTATACTCTGAAGGCATGTGTGGAAAGCATGACGGCGGTCACAAACTTGTCGAACCGGCTGCAGAGTAGGACAAATGAGGTGCAGCATTTAAACTCCCAGCTGGCTCTGCTCCAACGCATGTATAAGGATGCGCGAGCAGAGATAAGTGTGCTAAAGGCGAAAAATAAGGAGCTGAAGCGGAAGGCCACCGTTATGTTTCGATTTGGAGGTCCGCCATATGCTGCAGTGGAGGAGTATGGGGGTGTGAACGTGCTCGGCGGCGTGGAAAACAAGGAGGCAGCACCGTCAAGGGCCGCCCAGGACGGAGGCAAGAAGAAGAGACCGGCGGCAGAGTAGAGAAGAAAAATCCAGCCTGTGTATGTGGTGGTTGTGGTTTCGGTTTTTTTTAATTTATTTATTTATTTTTTTTTTTGTAAAATTGTGATCGGGGTTGATCCCTGAGATGAATAAAATATGAGTTGTTGTGCAAATTTGTAAATTGTTTTGGGTTTTTTTTTTTTTTTATGCAGAGTGATCAAGGTATGTGTAGAGGTCCGGCGGGCGGTCAAGGCGAGGCTGCCGCCCGCCGGTGAAGCAGAATGACTAGGTTGTTAACCTAGCTCTGATACCATGTAAGAATAGTTTGATAAAGAGAGGGAGAGAGAGCAAAATGAATAACTCTGTATTTCTGTGTGTTATTACAAGAAGATGAACACTCTCTTTATAGAGAGGAGATGACAGCATAGGATGCTAAGTTAGGCACCGAAAGCAGGAAACATTACATATTATATAATATAAATGACAACTAGCTATGCTTGACTTTACAGCTTTTCTGTACACTAATAATACTAACAGCAAGAACAAATTGACTTGTGTTGGGAATTTGAGCTCTTTTGGTTTTACTAACCCAAATCCTCTGTCCCACTTTGCTTGCTTTTCCCTCCCAGTCAAAGATCACAACTTCTTGAGGAGTTTGAGACATGAAATTGTTATAATAAATGGTTCACTACATAGCCTGATCTCGAGTAATTTGGGCTGACGCTTGTTGAGTACTTTGATAAGTTTATCGCTACTAGGATGAAAAAATTGTTAAATTACTTGGTGTTATGTATTTTTTTTTTTATTGAACTATCCTAAGGCCCTAGAAAGCACGGATACGGGTAGGGTACGATATGGATACGGCGATACGGTAAAATTTGAAAAATTAGGATACGGGTATGGCGGAGATGCTTTCGTAAAAAATATTATTTTTTAAAATTTTTAGTAATGTAGTATGTATAAAAATAAAATCTAAAGCAAAAGACAACTTGATAAAAAAGAAAGATTCCCATGGCCAGAAAGTTTTAACAAATGTGTTTTGATCCTAAAGTATGACCCCTTGTACTTATTTCGACAGTAATTGCATTTAAACTTGGTATTACCACCTCCTCCTCCTATTTTTTCTATTTTTGTAACATAACACAAAAGAGGAGCATGATCATCTTCCATTGGTGTACCACTTGTTGAATCTAAATTTCCCTGTTCCCGAACTTATTTCCTAAAATTTATAAATTTGGTAAAGAAATAAAACAAAACATTAATGTAGTTGTCTTTTGGCATGAACATCAAAAAAAAAATTCAGCAATTCAATTAAATTTAAGCAATTCCAACAATATAGTATCACCCATAACAACCATAATGCAATTCAAATTTTGGGGGGGGTGGGGGAATTTACCCTTTCAATGATAAAAAAAAAATACCTTACAAGGCTCCTTGATGTTGTCTTTTGAAGAAATAAAAAGTGAGTACTAGTAGCTTAGCTTAGCTGCAAAAAAAAAAAGAAAAAAAAAAGAAATAAATTCAAAGGGGTTAGTACAGTGAGAGGGAGAGAGAGAGTGAGATTGAGAGAGAGAGAGAGCGAGAGAGCGAGAGTGAACCTTGATCGACGACGATGACTTAGAGTTGCTACTGGTCGCGAATCGCGATAGAGACGACGACGACTCCTAAAAGTTGTTGCTACTGTTTGCGATAGAGGTTAGGGTTTGTTTGATTTTTTTGTTTATTTTAAATAGCTTTTGTTATTTTACACTTTGACCCCATTACAAGTTTTTAAAATTATTTTTTCGTCTCGCCGTATCCCGAAAGTATCCCAAGTGTATCCTTGAAGTATCCTCGCGTATCCCAAATGTATCCGAAATTCAAAAAATTAAAAAAAAAAATTGGGATATTTTTTTGCCATATCTGATACGTATTCTGCCGTGTTGAACGCGTATCCATATCCGATACATATCCGATATGCGTACGGTGGCCATTTCGGAGTATCCGTGCTTCATAAGGCCAAGTCATTGGTGGACAGTTGTATAATCATTTCATTTTGTTACCCGACAATGAGTTTACTTCTTTGAGGTTTTGTTAGGTGCCTCGCATAATTTTCACTCATATATATTTTCTATTTGATCATCCAATGGCCATAAAAAATGCACAGTTACTTGGTCAGTTTCATTTATATGTTGGTCGTTTTCATATTTTCATTTGGAGTGCTTACGACACATGATATCAGTAGCTGCCAAAAGACCAGATTACATATATGGACTTTTGCTGGTTTTGAAAACTATCACACATTTAGACTAAGCCATCGTTTCCTCCCTTTTATCCAAATTTTCATCAAAATTTCAGGGTGAGCACAAAGAATTTTCACATTAAAGATACACCATGTAATGTAACTAACAAAAGCCTTTCAAATTTTAGAAATTTTTAGAAATTTCAGGGGGCCTTCAAATGTTGTGTCAAAACCATGAGGAAGAGCGAGAAGGTGCTTTTTTGGAAACACTTGAGAAGTGCAAACACATATATAAGCACTGATGGTTTGGATGGTTTGCTGTAGGTGTGGATATTAGCATGAACACACATTTGAAGACGGTGAAATTGACAGTGAAGGGGAAAAATCCAGTTACTCTTGATCACCTAAGCGTGAGGGGTAACAACATCCGCTACTACATTCTACCTGATAGCTTGAATCTCGAGACTTTGCTGGTGGAAGAGACACCCCGCGTCAAACCCAAAAAGCCCACTGCAGGTATTGCACATAGCACAGTTACTGGCCTTTGGTGCATTGTGTTTATTGATTTCAATCTTTTCATTTCTTTTAATTTCAGGGAAGCCTTTGGGCCGTGGTCGGGGCCGAGGTCGTGGCCGCGGACGTGGACGTGGTGGCCGATAATCGAGTCGCTCTGGTTTTATTCATTGGAGCACCTGGCTATGTGAAATCAGTAGGTTTGTAAGGAGTGTTTGTTAATGATTGCCAGACCCAAAAGATGGCATTACAACCAACTTTTTCATTTTACTGTTAGCTCTGTTTCTTATATATTGGAAGTGCTTCTCTTATATTCTTTGGCCTTGTTATCAAAGTGGTCTTCCATCTCATGACTTTCTACGAAATTATTTGTTTCAGCTAATCTGTTCGTAACGTCATGATCTATTTTATCCAGTAGAGATCACCGTCAGACTTGATGCATAATTGGATTATGATCTGTTTATAATTTTATGAATCATGAGTTTTCTTTATGCAAAAGAGATTATAGCATCTAGAACCTCTTCAATTATTTGAGTTTTGAAACTTTGTTTTTTTTTTCTTCCTTTTTTACTAGGCTGATGCCAATTTTGACACAATGATAACAAAGGCAGAACATATTTTTCTGTGATTTGTGGTCCCTGAGACCAAAGTGTGGACGAGACACGTTTTTTACTGCTTTGTGATTTGAGAATTTTAGGCTCACCGCTGCACCTAAATTGGCAAGTAAAACTAGGATATTAATTGGCACTAAAATTCTCAACCTGGTTGGAAGCTATATCACAATGCGACTCATCATATTGTTGCAAAAGCTTCCCAGATACAAGCAAATATCACAGCAGATAAAGCATGTTGGTCCCGTTTGGTGTAGCTGTTAAAACAGCTTATAGCTTAACAGATTATAGATTATGACTTTAATCAGAAGTTGTTAATCTGTTTGGTGTAACTGTTGGATTATAGATTTAAGTTGCTGAGTAGTGTTTGTTAAATAAGCTGTGAAATAGCTTTTTTAATTAATTTTTATTTTTTGTTTGTCTACATTTCTCATAAAAAATAATAATAATAATTTTTCAAAGCTAAAAGTCATAAGTTAACTCTGAAAAGTTGAAACAAACACCCCTGTTATCACCCATTAGCTGAAAATTTATGATTAAAAAAGATGACTGGATGAAGATTAATTGTGAACTAGAATAAAAAACTACCATTTCATCTGCTGAATTTTGTTACACGAAGTGAAGTGGTACTCTACCACTGCAAACAACTAAGCAATTTCTTTCTGAAATTCCATGCACTGACAACAACAATACACCAACAATGATATTCCCAGTTATTAATCCTTCGCACAGCAAAGATCTGAAAATTTCTCTTACAGGTCTTTATGAAGGATTTGAATCGAGTGAATTTGAATCATCTGACTACTACCAGAAGGTGATCAAATGCTTTACAATTCAATGACCATGTCCCAAAGGTACAAGTCTTGCTCTGGAATTCTCAAAGCAATGGTGACCAATCCAGATCCTTCTTTGTATTCGAACTCCATTTCCTCCAGTTCAACTGTTATCCGCTTGGGTCGAAATGATGAATATGCCCCAAATATGCCGCACCCACGCACTTTCATGCTAACACTAGCACTCCTCCCGGATTCATATTCTAGTTCCTTGATGGCTCCTCCGGAATTGAACATCTTGACAAGACCTATAGGAGCAAAAGTAGCACCATTGGACAATTTCTTGACAGGAACCACTGTGAAAACTTCATATTCTCGCGACTTCAGGGTAATTGGCAGAGACGCGTTCTTTGGAAGATACACCACCTCACCTGCAATGGGCATCGCAAGAAATTAGTAAAAACTGCTTTGGGCATTTTCTTGAACATAATGGATATTTTTGTGGAGTTGGGCAACATATATGGCCAAAAAGGAAAGTGGGACATACCACCAAGATGGGAATACAGGACACAGTCTCCTGTCCATCCATCATCGACAATTTTGGGCAAATAGTCAACATCTTTAGCTCGGATGATTCCAGTGACTGTGCCAGGCTGTTCATCGTGGATCAGATTCTTCTTTCCAACTTTACACCATCCAGCTCCTTGGCAGTTGAAGACCCCAACAACTCCATTGAAATCGTTCAGATTCCAAATCTTAAGAAGACTGTTGGACCATCAACAGTAGAATAAGCAAACACAGCCTTTTAAAGACTACCAATAATTTACGCAATTTTTGTTCTATATAATACCTCTTTCCATCTCTGGCGGGATCAGAGAACAAGCAATCCCTTGTTGGTCTACCGGGAAGTTTGGCCCTCAAAATTGAACCGTCAGGAAGTACTAGTTTCTTCAGTAGATTAAAATCGTGCTGCCCAGGCTTGTCGCTGCATAATGTACATTACCCAACATGAGAAAGTGATTATTGAATTGAATACTATTATAACCGTAACTAATAGAAATGCATGATCGTTGACTGTACCTGACATAAATAGCACAGCCTCCCACTGCACGAGCAGCTCCATGGTATTCAGCCATTGGGTGTAAGCTCTGTCATAAAATAGTTTTCCAAGTTAAAAACTGAAAAGAAAAAGAAAAGAAAAAATTCAAAGTTAATCACCTGTTGAATTGTGATTAGCTTACATGAAACATATCCCAATCGGGCTGCATGAACTCTCCGAGGAAAATGGTGTTGTATGCAACTGATGCAATATGAATTGTGTGTGATGCTGGATCTCTGGGCCAGAAATCATCTGATGCTCTTACCACAGCTGACCGCTTTGAGCTGCAAAAATATATAATGGATCAAGATTCCTCAGAACTCCAGTCATTATAATACAACATGACCTATATAGCTAAATCATCGTAGATTTGCTATGAAAGAGAAAGTATACCTGTACAAACCATCTGTATTATGACTCATACAAGAAATAATTCCATTATCAGGGAAATTTCGAGAAATGGAAGCCTCCAATGCCTGATGATATTTCCTAGCAAGTTTCACTCTTCCACCGTGGCCTGCCCCAAGAGTTTCAAGGATGTTCTGAACATCTACTTTGACCCCATCAATACCAGCTGAGGCAAGATAAGAGTGAAGTTCGTTGTAGAAGTTAAACACTTTCTCAGGGTTCACAAGGCCAAGCCCATTCTTGGTAATGCTATTCAAAGCATCACAAGGTTCATTTGACTCAACTCCAGGAGATGAAACAGGGTAGGCTAACTTAGATTCGTAGTGTTCCATTTCAGTAACACCAGGTCTAACACCACCCCAGTACCCTGTTATTGCATGCCACACATAAACGTACCTGCAAATTCAGGGGGACAATGTAACCATGAGAGGCTTATCGAAAATTGTATCTAAAAACCAGTTTATGTGGACCAAGTAAGGAATTGTACTTCATGGCATTATGGTCTTTGATTTCAGAAACAAGGTGTCGCAGTCCCATTGCTGGATCTTCTACCCTGTGACCCTCTTTTCCATCCTTCTGAAATTTGTGGTTCTCTTTGATATGAGTTAATCTATTTGCAAAACTGGAATGACAACAAAAAGAATGGAGCAGAATTGTTAGACAGCAAAAGAATTCATGGGACAGCATAAAGAAAACTATTTTTGTTTAGGTGCTCACTTGGCAGTATTATCAGCTTTAGATTCAATGCCGACAGGATCCATGCCAACGGATTGCCAACCATCGTCGATGATAACAAACTTCGGGATAATCCCTCCTTTCTCAAAGCTGAAGAAAATGACTAGTAGTTAATACATTGGATATTATGTTGGTGCCACAGATTTCCTTCTCGCGGGGAGTGTAACACAATACCCGTGAAGAGAAAAGTCCGTGACTCCCATGCGTGGCATTATCATTTCCATAAACATTTCATTGGCACTAGGATCATGTAAATTGATACTATGTCTACATAGTTAAGTGCCAGACCTTTCTAATCCTTGCTTCACACCCTCTGCGGTAACATCAGTATAGAAAGCATCCCAGGTGCACCAGCCAAACCAGTTCAACATGTCTGGCATCTGAACCATGTTGAAGCACAAAGAGATCAAAATTTAAATGGATTAAAAAGCAACTTACACAAAACTACATTGCAGCAACTGGATATCTTTTAAGAACAAATATACTACCTTTTTTCTATCACGATGACAAAATGTCTGTAAATGTCTCTCAACAGTCCTGTATAAATTTAGAACTACAGTCAACAATCAACAATCAACAATCGATCCTTAAAACAGATGGATAAAGAAAGAAGAGTGTCATCAAGTTAATATCCTAGCTCTAATTTTCATGCTTAAAAAAGAAGTTTGACCGTCTTCAGACCAAATAACACCACACACAACTCAGTTTTTATTTTCTATAACTGGTAAAAGCAAGTAGTTAAGATGTTGAAGGAATATGTAACATTTAAAAAAAAAAAAAAATTGTATTGAACATAACAAAATAGGCAACATGCACAAATCATTATGCCAATGCATTTCCATTTTAATTTTTTTCAGTAATGCTTTAGGGAAAAGAAAGAAAATGAAGATAACATTAGAGAAGCAAAATTTGTTGCTTCTGTTTAGTTTAGTTTAGTTTTTTTATTTATTTTTTATTTTTTTTTATAACTATTGCATTTGTTTAGTTTGGTTAGGAAAAATGAGAAAAAAAAAATGAATAGACATTTATCAAACAAATCAATTTATTTCCTTATTAAGACTCATAATTTAATTCCCCAATTCAATAGTTAAAAGTTGTGACAAATCAAAATTTGACCCACATTAAATTAGAAGATTTTTTTTAGAAGTCTCAAACATTTTTGTTTTACTATCCATATACTACATGAATAAATACAATTGATGCCAACTACTTTCTTTCCCTCAATAAATTCAGATCCAAACGTAATGTAAGAAACTCTAGATTTGCCAATTTGAAGTGAATATTAATTTCATATCCAAATTCATGATTGAGGACATACAATCTGCATCTGAGGAATGAATTGGACTTACTTCACTGCGCTTGTGATGACATCAAACGGGTCTGATCCTGCTCCCACATAAACCAAATGACTCCCCTCAAATCCATCCACAGCAGGATCCCCTGCAATCAAAACGAAACGAAGATTGTCATCATCATACACACAAACCAATATTAATACAAATACATATGCATTTTTGGTTTGATTTCTCTCTCAAAACACGTTTTTGGAGGAAAAATTCTTAAAATATGTTTGGTTAAAAAAAATTTAAAAATTATTTTTTTCTCTATTACACATCAATCAATTACTTTTTTTTTTTTTTTTCTCACACCATCTAAAAAAAAAAAAAAAAAAAAAAAAATCAAATTACTCAAAACTCGAAAACTCAAAAATTATTTACAAAATATACAATCAAATAAATTTTCAAAATTTTCTAAATTCTCTCCAAAAAATTATTTTAAAAATAATATCTCAAAACACACCCCCTTGAACTTATTTACCAACCCATGTCATATTTAGACAAATTTCTCAAATATAGTTGTTTTCAACTTATTTATAAATAAAAAAAAGGAAAAAAAAAGAAAAAAAAAAAAAAAAAAAAATCAAATTACTCAAAACTCGAAAACTCAAAAATTATTTACAAAATATACAACCAAATAAATTTTCAAAATTTTCTAAATTCTCTCCAAAAAATTATTTTAAAAATAATATCTCAAAACACACCCCTTGAACTTATTTACCAAACCCATGTCATATTTAGACAAATTTCTCAAATATAGTTGTTTTCAACTTATTTATAAATAAAAAAAAGGAAAAAAAAAGAAAAGAAAAACAGAATCTATTGTAATCAACATACCACTCTCGAGACAAATCTCCAACTCGTTATTGGCGTTTCCCTGAAGAACAGCCCTGAAATCACCCTCCAGAATAGGCAAAAAGACGGTGTACAATGCGGATTGATCTTCACTCTCTTCCCCAAGCTGCGAACCCTCGTGCGTCTCCACGATCAAAAATTGAGTCTCGAAGGGTATATCCTTGCCGCAACTTCCCATCCTCTGCGTCATCCACCACATCTTGAAACGAAACACACACATGAACCTCAATCCCCTGCAATCCATCGAATATCATCAAATTTAAACACAATTTTAATACTAATAAATCAATCTACAGCAGCAACAACAACAAAAATATATATTTAAATAAATAAATAAATAAATAAAATTGACGTACTCGAGTTTTCCGAAGGGGAAGACGCGGTGGCTTCCGACCTGATCGGATCGGACTCCGAGGAAAGCGCCGGTGGTGAAGGCGTGGCCGGCGGGCGGAGTGAGAACAATGTTGTTGGGGACATCGGTGAGAACGCGGTTTCCGAGGACATTGAGGTTACCGTCGGCAACTGTTATGCCTGAACCTACTGTCATTTTTGTTGTCTTTTTGGAGAGCTCGAATGCTCAACAACAATGGCAGAACTTGCAAGTAAACCAGACAGGGAGGGAAGTGGGAGAGACCAAATAGAATAGAATACTACAATGATAATATTATGATATAGAATAGAATAGAATAGAATAGAATATGGTTGCGTTGCGGGGTATTTGTATTGTATTTATAGTAGTAGGATTGATGACATAAACGAAAATTTTGCTCACGGCCAAACATTGGGATAGGTTGGGTTTCGGCTGGACAAGTATGTTTTGAGAAGACCATAAAAAGTTGTTTGTTGCGTCGTTGTTTTTTTGTTTTTGTTTTTGTTTTTGTTTTTGTAAATACGTAGAGATGTAACTCAAAAAACTTAAAAAGTAGAAATTGATTTTTTTATCAATTTGTCAAAATGCCTCTATGTATAAGATTAGTCTTTTGTCAAAATGCCTCTACGAATCACAAACACTCTAAAGATATATGTATTATTTTAAGTTGGATTTGGCCCAACATCCAAAATGCCTCTACGAATCACAAACACTCTAAAGATATATGTATTATTTTAAGTTGGATTTGGCCCAACATCAAATCTAATATTGTTATTTGTAAAGGCCACATGTTGGCCCAACAATTCGAGTTAGACCTTGTTAACCTTTTTTCCAAGTGAAATCATTAATACAATTTAGGGGTGCAACTTGGATGGGCTCAACCCGAACAAACTACTGCACTTTGTAGATTGAACAATATCATTCATATGGTGAGATTTATTATAAGTCTTATTTTTATAATTCTAATCATTCATTTTTTAAATCACAAAGTCTTATTTTTATAATCCGACCAGTTTATTTTTTAAATCATAATATTATCAATCCAATAACTGTAACTCTATTAGTTTATCACATTTATTTACATAAAAATAAACGATAAATATTATTTGAAAACTAAGCTATCCATTTTTCTAGAAACAGATGTGACAAATGATTATCTCATCGACCTAATTTCTTACATAAATAATTTACACATTGTAATCTGAAAAAACAAACGGCTACAAAAGTACTTGCACATAGATAACATCAAGCAATTCAAAAAAATATTTATAAATAAAAATGAACGGCTTTGATTTTAGATCATTTCAACCATTCCTTCAAAATAAACCATAACTAAAAACAAATGTATATTAAAAAAAGTTTTGTGCATGTAAACTAGTTCCAAATGTAAGCATGCCCATAAATTCCAACTAAACAAGAAACTAAAATCGTTAGCCCATACAAAGGCTCCATTTGGGAAGAGCTATTTGGGGTTTTTTTGGCTATTTTAGCCACAAAAGACAAAATAGGCTATTTTAGTCACAAAAAATAAAACATCACATCCATCTCATAATCATTATACTCTTCTCTCACAAAAAAAGTCAAAAAAATCAAAAAGCCCTTCCCAAACCAAGCTTTTTAGCCCAGGCTAAAATAGCCAAAAAAGCCAAAAAGCCAAAAAGCCAACCTACTTCCCAAACCAAGCCTTAATGAGTTAAATTAATCTCAACCTGCTTCCCAAAAACTATCAAGTTGAACTAGGCAAATTGTACATACCATTCGCCCCATAGCCATCTCTAACCCCATGTCTCATTTGTCCCATTGTTTTGGGTAAACAAAAAAATAAATAATTTATTGATTTATTAACTTATTTATATCACATTATTTTTTTAATATTTTTTTTATAATAAATATAAAAATTTAAAAATAAATCATTCCCAAAATAAAACATAATTTAAATTCTTCTTCTTTGAATACAAAATCATAAAAGATCTAACCACACAAAACCATCATTTGGAACGTGGGTCACTTTTTTGGTTTTTTAATTTTTTTGATTATTTTAATTTAAGGTTATTTATAGTTTAATGGATAGTTATGAGAGATAAAATAAAATAATTATAATTTAAATGTAATATTTTATTTTATTTAAATATGATATTTTATGTTATTAATTTTTTAATATATATATATATTTTTATAATTAAAATAACTAAAAAAATCCATGCCACACATGGCCAGAGTAACCTCTGCGGCTAATAAATCTTACAAAATCATAAATTATATTCTTTCACCTATCATAAAGCTCACAGCTACCAAATTATGCTTCAGGGACCACTTCCGTTACACAACGAGTCATGTGGGTTGGCAGTAAACTTTGAAGTTCGTGAAACACATGCATGCACCATGAACGCAGGCACCTGTCCTTGTCAAATAAAAATGCCATAAATCTCAAATAATTTAAATTGAATTGCCCTATTTATTTTATAAAATTAATTTTTATTATGTATTTAAATAATAATCATGTGGTGAGTGGTTATTATTTAATAAACTATTTAAGGTTGGTTTGGGAAGTTAGTTGACTTTTTGATTTTTTTTACTATTTTAGTCTAGGTTAAAAAGCTTGGTTTATAAATGTTTTTTTTTACTTTTTGACTTTTTTGACTTTTTTTGTAAGAGAATAGTGTAATGATTATGAGTTGAATGTGATGTTTTATTTGTTGTAACTAAAATAATATATTTTATCTTTTATGACTAAAATAACCAAAAAAACCTACAAAACTACTTCTCAAACGGTGCCTTAAAATGCCCAAACTTCCTCACCATATCCTTCCTTATGGCGGGAAGCATTCCGTCCGTTGGTATGATAAATGTTATAAACGTTAATACTAAAATTATAAATTTTTACATAAAAATGTAATAATTTTTAAAAATTAGCATTGATAAGTAATTTTTACTATTGTACTATCCTTTATGTAACTAAAAATAACAAATAAACAAATTTTGAAATTTGACTCATAATAATGTAATATGATACATGATAATTTTTTACTTTTATATATATGTATACTTTTAATTTTTTTTTCAAAAGATTGAATGAATTGAGTTAATTGGATTGTCCAGTTTAGCCTATTGATAGATCATTTTGGAACCATCTCAATAATCAAACTTATGTATTTTGTATCGAGCAGATCATTTATGTTAAAAATTAAATTGATCGTTAACTACTATGCATTGGTTTGGCATGGTGGATTGGGGTGGGTTAGGATTAAAATAATCACAAAAAAAAAAAAACATTTTATAAGTTAAAAAATGTCATATCTAAACGAAATCAATGATTTCAAATTTATTCAAAAAGCAAGATAGTGTTCCAAAATTACTATAATTACCCATGTTTTAATAGTTTTTTTTTTTTAAAAAAAACAGATGATATGCTTACGAAAAATCATAAAATTAAAAATTAAATCAAAAATAATTTTTTTGATGTAAATTTAAAGTATACTTGCAATATGAATTTAATATATTAATTTATGTTAAGGATGACTCTTTAGATAGAATTTGTAGGCCTTCTGGATAAAATTTATAAAAGTGAAACACACAAAAAAAACGTGGCTTCTCGAAAAAGCGTCAGGAAAAAGTGATTTGACGGTTTCAAAGCAAAGGCACGACAGAGCACGAGCTCTTTGATCGCGCGTGCGCCTCCAAAACATGGTAGGCGTGATTGTTTATTTTTTAATTTTTTATAAAAGAATATGTAAAAAAATAAAGAAGAAATATTAATTATTGTGACAAAAAAATAAAAAAATAAAAAATATAAACTTATTTAGTCTTCTCAAGCCAGATAACTTTCATTGTTGATCAATTATTAAATGATCAAACATTATCAAGTGTCTCATAAGTCATGATATTCTTTGATGCTTATAGTTTATAAATTAAAAAAATATATGTTAAATATTTTTTTAAATAAATAAAGTTTAGAAGAAAGTGTTTTGAGTTTTATTTTTGTTTATTTTTGTATCCTTGGAACACTTGTTATTAGGATTAAAATTTTAAAACACAATATAAAAATGCTAATTAACAAATGATATTGAACATTGTTTCAAAATTATTATTACTTACTTAACACGTATTACAGTTTTTTATTTTTTAAAAATATCCAATAAATAATATAATATGATATTCTGTGAATATTTAAGGGATGTTTGGGATAAACTAAAAAGTTTAATTATTCAAGAGTAGCTTGTGGAGGAAGTCACTAGAGCAAAATTGGTTTGTGTTTGTAGAGTAGTTTTTGAGATAAAAAGTACGAAAACTTGTTTGGTTTGTTTTTTTTCAAAAATTATTTTGGAGAGAGAGTTTTAAAAAAAATGATTAATTTGATGTGTATGAGAGAAAGTGTGATTTTGGAAAGAAGCAAACCAAACAAAATTTTGAGATTTTTTTAAAAAAAATTTATTTGGTTTGATTACTCTTGAAAATTTGTTTGTAGAGAATTTTTTTCAAATTTTTTTTCCAAAAACAAACCAAACAAGTCCATTATTTTGTCATTTGAATTTAACTATCTAAAAATTAAAAAAGTCAAAAGGGTAAAATGGTCATTTTGATTTTATTACAATATTTTATTACACATCTTTTTGTAAAAAGTTAAAAAATTATTTCAAATGTCATCTTTTTTTTCTCTATTTTTTAGTCAAAAAATTAAAAAATACATTTATATATCACATCCCAAACAACTATTATAAATAAAAATTTGTACAAACCAAAGAAATTACATTAAATACTTGTTGGGCCCTAAAAGGTCGGTACTATGAGAATGAATTTTATTTGAATAATGTTATATGTATCTATTAATATAGTAATTAATACACTAATAGATGATATGACATAATTTTAAAGATTTTGAGTATTTATAATTTGTATAATAAATAAGGTCAATAATAATAATATAGCACTAATTGATATACTAACGTATACATTAATTGATGCATGTAGGATCACCGAATTTATTTAGATGAAAAGTCAAATGAAAAATTGAAAATTAGTTTGACAACTAGATTGAGCCTTGACTAGGATATGACGTGTAATTGAGAAATAGGTGGATATGACGAGGACAATTAATATATTATTCAACTCAAATCCCCAATACCGTTGGGTTGGACATTGAAAGTTTGAAAATGATTAATTAGTATTTTTCAAAAATGATCATTGTTTAAATACATAATAAAATTTAATTTATTAAAAAAAATAAATATTTAAAAGATTAATTCATTTTACATAATTTAATTTTATCTTTGATGAATAAAAATTATTTTTAAAAATTAAAAAATATTTTTTTGATATTTATTTTTATCAAATTAATTTATATTTTATTAAATT